GTGCTCAATGAACAGCATTATAGCACTTTTTGAAATGCTGCAACCATTTTAGTCACCAGGTAGGCTGTCAAAAAAACAGTCATTGCTGTATCTCAGTATCAAGTAGGCATCTATAAGCCTTGGATACTAGCCTAGTTGGTGGCCTCGGAGGAAGGTGATAGTCTGCTTAGCTGCAGCTGCAACCTTCCCTGATAAAATAGCACATGGGTCAGGTCTTGCTCTGCTTTGTTAAAGGGATGGCTTATATCCAAACCATTTCTGAAAGAGGCTTCTTTGGCTATTTAAAAGCATTTCACCTCTTGAAGAAGTACCGTGAAGAAACTTTCTACCACGGAAGCCCATCTTCTGTGAAGTAGTGAGTCACTTGACCATGCCCAGAAGGGCTTCTAATTTATACACTCATCCCTCCACTTTTGCGGCTTTGATTATACACAGATTTTATTATTATCTAGGTTCTCCAGTGCAACTCTGTGGTCAACTTTAACCAAAAGTCTCACTGGAGGACCTAGAGATCCCTATTGAGAACAGTCCACTAAGCATTTGTGGCTCCTCCAGTGCAATTCTATGGTCAATGTCTGGCAGATGTTGACCACAGAGTTGCACTGAAGGACCTAGACATTCATAGAGAGGTGTTCCCTCAGGTAAAACATAGTGCTTTTTTATTTGTGGTTTTTCCACATTCATGGGGGTCCTGTGCATCTAACCCCAGTGAATGTGGAGGGACAAGTGTACTTACTTATGACAGTGCTCCATCCCTCAAGGAAAACAGCTTTCAAAGCTGCCCTGCTGGTTATATATGTCCCTGTATGTACACGAAAATGCATCTGAAGACTGAAGGCATGCAAAAAGGCCATCTAAAAATCATGATCACTTCATTAAATTAAACACACCGTACAACTTGTAGCATCACAGAATATCTCCTTGGATCCTTTCAAGCTATGATGGTCTAGTATTTTGCTTGTAAGGGACTCAGAGTCAAGTTGCTGGTCATAAAGGTAACTTGGAAGTTGGGCAAGTCAGTTGTTTTCATTTACCCTCTATAGTGAATTTGTTAAATAAAATGTAATCCTTTCTTTCTTATCCTGCTTTTCTCTCAAGGCGGCTCACACCATCGCTTAAAACAAAATACCACTAAAAGTAAACCATAGTAATCAAAACAGTTTTAAAAAACCAAATAAATCATCCTATTAAAAACAGCCTGAATATGAAATAGTTTAAAAGCATTTAAAAATATAACAGTAAGCATAAAAATACAGCACATACACCCCATTGAGAGATTCATCACCCTTCCTTCACGGGACTTTCCTCCAAGCCCATTCAAAATGGTTCCACAAGACCATGGACAGATGGAGGCCAAACCACCTCACTTTATCTGTGTTGTCTCCATACTTGCACAAAGAGCAGGTTGGGAGGTCATCGTCTTCTGCCTCTCTCCTTGACACCTCTGACAGATAGCTTTCCAAGTGTCACTCTGTGCTTTTCCACTCCTCATCTTCCTCTTTGCTTAGCTTCTCCCCTTTGAGCAAGCTTTGTTCTCAAGCTTTGACTAGGGAAAGTGTGGTCCACGGACTGTATATGGTCCCAAGCCCTTGTTTGCGCTTCAGAGCCACTCAGTAGACCATGAAAGCCATTCAGCCCATTTTTTTAAAAAAAATGTAACTGCAAAATTACCACAAAGTGTAGCAGTTTGTATTGATTTACTCACCATCCCCGTAAACCTCCAAACAGCCAATTTAGGGATGAAAGGGGACTTGAAGTCACATCACATGTGGGTTTGCAGAGAAAGGTCTCTGTGGCCTGCTGGAAGAGCAGAAATTGGCCCCTATCCCCGGCAGTTGCCAACCCCGGGAAATCTCTGATATTTGGGCCTTGTGCTTTGTTCCTGGCTACTAAAACACATATTTGACTTGCTCCTTGCTTCCATTACTTGCCTGCTGTTGTCGGTGCACTTGGCCCCAAGATGGTCACTTTGCTTTCTTATTTGGCATGTACCCTAGTCCGCTGTCTTGTGGTTTTGGTATGATGGCGCTTCACAGTAACCTGCTTTGTAAATCACCTGTACATAATAATAATAATAATAATAATAATAATAATAATAATAATAATAATAATAATAATAATAAATAAATATATATTATTGTAATCCTTCCCGATTTATCATTTGCTTCAAGTAGTCCAGATCAATTTTTTTTAAAATGTTCATTATTCTTCTAGAAAAGAAACACGGGCATTCCTGGAATACTCTTTTATGACACCTGCCCTTTAGTTTTAGAGCTGGAAATGTAATGAGGGAAATCTAAATTTCAGCAGTTTGTAAACTACTGGGTAGTATTAATGGCTTGTCTGCTTTCTCAGATGCAGTGTCTTTAATGCATAGTTAATGTCCAATTAGTACAGTGCTTTGTTTTAGTGCCTGTGTGAACTTTTTCCTGGCAACAGACCCCCTGGCAACATTTACATGACTATGTCATTCCCAATATCAAGCGAAGTAAGGAAGTTGAACATATGGAATTCCCTTCCGTGCGAGGTCCAGTTGTTCCTCTCCCTGCTCTCTTTCTGCCAGCAGGTGAAGATCTTTATATTTAACGTGATGTTTGGTGAGAACAGATTAAGTTTTTAATGGGGAAGGGGCATAGTGTTTTTATTTTATTATGTTTTAAATATCATTTTAGTGCTTTTTTAACTTGTGTTTTTCACATGTTTTTAAATAAAAAATGTTTAATTGTATTTTAACTTTTGTATTAAGATTAAAAAATATATTTTTTGTTTTTAAGGTGTTCTATACCTTACTGGAAGAAAGGTGGGATGTTAAATAAATAATAAAGGCTGCTGTTAAGTGCCCACCCCATCTTTCCATCTTATAGTGTGTCCTGTACCTCAGTGTACAGGTGATGGAGGAAATTCCTGGGTGAAGTAGTGTTAGGCATGAAGAGGAGAAGGGTCTAGGCATCTGCAGAATGTGCCAGGCTTTTTTCCTCCAGCCATAATGCATCAAAGGCTAGGAAAGTCATGTCAGTGGAAGGTTCATAGGCAATTCTAGTCAGGAGAAATAAACTTGGGAGTGTAACCTTCTGTTGTCTTAATCTTCAAGTGTGAACCAGATTATTAATACTTCATAAAGCTACTTCTCAAAGTGTTGTATTGAAGTTAAAAATATAATATAAAACAATGCAATCACAATAATTGATGTGACTACTTTATTGATCAGATTAGACTCTATCACTTGTATAACACGTAAATTGTTATTTGGGGAGGATTGGGTGGTAGAGATTGAGCGGTAGAGATTGATTTGTTATTGTTGAATTCTAAAAAGAAATTAAGATCATGCCCTTAATAGTGTGACAGGTACTAGCATGACACATAGATTTTATTCTTTTGTCAAGGGCTTCTTGTATGTAGAGGGGGGAAAGGATTCTGCTGCCAATGGCTGTTCTATGTGCAATATCCAGCCTATTTTTTTGTTGTTCGTTCTTAAGCTCTTTACTTCTGCTCATCTAGCTTGTAAAAGGTATTTTGGTTCACAGTTTAAGAACAAAATGTAAAATCAAAATATTAAAAGCAAAGATGGAATTTAATTTGATATGTTGCTAACCAAAGCACCCTCCTGAAAGTGAAGATTTTAAATGTTTTGCTTTTGAAGTCTCACCATAGAGTTCACTGGATGCATTTATCCAAGAATGGTGCTCGAAACAGAAGATATAATTTCAGAGGACTGTGATCTGATTGCACCAGTCCTACCACAACAAGCAAGGGGTCTTTAAACATGCTCTCTTCAGATGAATACAAAGCATGTTGGGGATCCTTCTGGAAGAGGTATGCCTTTAGATAACATCTCAAGTAGAAGGCTTTAAAGATAAAAACCAGCATTTTGATCTAGGCCTGAAAGACACTGATAACCAGTTGAAAAAAAATATTTGAGAATAGATGCCATAAGCTGTCAGCATTTAATAATGCTCACAAAAGAGTTCTGCTGCTGCATTTTAATTAATGATTACATTTATACGTTATCTTTCCTTCAAGGAACACAAAGCAACATTCATGGTTCTCCTCATGTTCTTTGTCACTATAGAAGCTCTGTGAGGTGGGTCTGGCTGAGAAATAGTGACCGCCAGAGGTCACCCAGTGAATTTTGTGGTCACAATAGGAATTAGAACATAGGTGTAGTTTGACAGTCTAATCCAGGGGTAGGCACCCTAAGGCCCGGGGGGCCGGATGCGGCCCCCTGAGGTCTTTGGACCGGCCCCAGGCCAGTCCTACCGCCGCCGCCTGCCATGATGATATTTATTATTGTTGTTATTACTTGTTCTTGGGATTTTGGCAAAATCTCCACAGGGGGTTTGCCATGGTTTTTCTGGGTCTGAGAGAGTGTGCATTTTTAAAATTATTTTAATTTTTAAAATATTTATTTATTTATTTATTTATTTTTGGTGCTTTGGCCCCCCAATTGTCTGAGGGACAGCAACCCGGCCCCCGGCTCAAAAAGGTTGCCTACCCCTGGTCTAATCACTACGCAGACTGGCTTGCCGATCAGTTGATTATTCCTAATACTCTTAACAGTGGTGGTGGTGGTAGTAGTAGTAGTAGTAGTAGTAGCCAGACCCAGCCCATTGCCATAGTTAAAAATGGAGGTGGCCAGATCTTACTGTTACAGAAAATGATGCAGTTGACACACAAGTGGGACCTCTTTGCTTTCAACTAAAAACCCAACCTTCTTTTATGGGGTATGTGAATACAGGCATGTGTGATGAAGCTCCTTATCCTTATCCACAGATTTTTTTTTTTTATCCACGGATTCAAGCATCCACGGCTTGAAAATGTTCCAAAAAAGTAAATAATTCCATATAGCAAACTTTGATTTTCCATTTTTTATAGGAACATGCTATATGCCATTATATTTAATGGAACTTGAGCATCCACAGATTTTGTTATCCACGGGGGATCCTGGAATCAAACGCCAGCGGATAACAAGGACCCACTGTATTATCACTAAATAGGCAATAGCCAGCGTGGGGGAGTGGTTTGAGTTTTGGACTAGGACTCTGAACACCTGGGTTCGATTCCTAGCTCAGCCATGAAACCCACTGGGTGACCTTGGGTGAGTCACACTTTCTCAGCCTCAGAGGTTGGCAATGGGAAACCTCCTCTGAAGAAAGCTTGCCAAGAAAACCCCATGACAGGTTTGCTTTAGAGTCTCCATATGTCAGACACGACTTGAAAGCACACAACCACAACCACAGCTTTTCTTTCATCTCTTATGGGGCAGAGACAGCCTTGACTGATTAACTTGATCACAGGACAGTTTGATCCTTGGTCTCGTTTCTTGAAGGGTCCATTTTGAAGCCCATAGCGGCGCATATTTTCTCTCTCCTGGCATGAGG